ACATTTTAAAAATTGGAAAAGAATTTTTATTGTCGTGAATTACATAAAGTATAATAGAATCGGTTTTATTAGTGATTAATTTTTGTTGATGTATAATTTTGTTATTCAAAAAGTTATATTTGTATATTTTTTTACTATCGCTATGTTTTTTTATTTAAAAGCCAGTTTCTATAATCTAAACTAAGATTTAGTTATTGAACCTGATTTAGGCTCAATTTACGAATGCTGAACCTAAATCAGGGTTAGTTGAACTGGGAGCCAGACATTTTGAAATTTCATAGAGTAAGGCTTTAAGGCTTTCACTTCGCTCCCCTCAGCTCCAGCCAATTACCAAACCAATTCCATGCACTAGATATATAAGCTAATGGTGAGTAAATAAATTAGTGGAATTCAAAAATTAAATACCAGATTCCAAAACAAAGGGTTATATATAAGAGAATAAACAGACTCTAAGAGATACTTTTGTAATATGTTGTAGCTATTATAAAACTACAAAGAAAAACTGTATAAATTAACCAAATTGCGAAATAATATTTTCTTCCATAAGTATTTCATTTAAAATTAAGTAGTGCTTCTCCATTTAAATATTTATAAAATTTTTATTTATCATTTCAAGCTTATTTGATTCTGTAAAAATGTTAAGAACTAGGTAACAATAATTCTTTCCAAAAATTATAATCTTTTGGATAATAAACAAATTTTGGTAGAGGAATTGCAAGTATTATTGAACTATAACCTATATAATAAAAATCCTTAACTGGTTATATAATTGAATTTTGAAAAAGAGGATGACTATCTTGAAAACCAATTTGAAAACTAATCCAACGATCCAAAATAGTAGAAGTTAATATATCAAGAAATGAAGTTTTAGATAAATGAAAATATCTTAACAGTAGAAGGAATTACAAATCCTATTTTAGATAAAATACTTGCTGTAAATGCAGGATGATTTTCTGATAATTTTCAAAATAATACTCAGCAAAGAAATTTGAAATAATTAAATTCTTATCTTTTGCGTACTTATTTATACAGGAAGTGCCAAAAATCGAATCCATTCATCATCCTTTAATGAAATAAATGTTTCCATGAGAATTTTCCATAGTAAATTAAATAAAATTCTTCATTGACATCTAAAAGCTGTATATTGTCAAATTTAACATATAAATTATTATAGATTGTCTCATAGCTTGAAGCAGGAATAATTTGTCTTGAAATCCAGTCTTTAAAGAGATCCATAAATTTGTGATTTCAAAATCGAAATCCTCTAAACGATAATTATAATCACACAAATAATAATGCATCTTAATAACTTTTGTCTCTTGGCTTCAGAAAATTTAAAAGTCCAGATAATTACACCAATATGAGTAATCGTAACGAAATCACCATTCTCAAGAATTTCACAATATAGTATAAATCTTGTTATTACTATCTGAATTCCATTTATTATTGCTATAATCAAATTATTACTGTAATAATGACTGATTTATGTCTTAATTTTAATTTCCATTTTTATATTAGGCCCTTGAAACTCACCATTATCAGTAATTAAAATTATTATTTAATCTGTTTTTTATAATTTCAATTATATTTTCAGATGGAGTTGTAATTCTGTTTTTGTTCTTCCACCAAATCTTTAATAGTTAAAACTTCTCCATTAATTGTATAAATTATTTTATCTAATTGAATTATATATGGTTCTTGAATTTGATTAATTTCCAAACATTTACTCGTACTCACTAGATTTGTGAAATTGTAAGGATCCATTAAAATATAACGTTTATCTAGACTAACTAAA